TCTAAGCCTAACCCAAATGCCTTAACTCTACCCTTATCCTCATCCTCACCATAAGCCTTAACCTTAACCCTAAACTCTAACATTAAATCCTAACCCTAACAAACTCAATAATATCTGTTAGTCTTAATCTTTGGGACAGTTTTAGCTTTCCAGTAAATTGTTTATTTCCTTACTCTTTTTTGTTAAGTCCAAGAATTTAATTATTGGTTTATTTTACTCTCTGGGACATGGTTTCATCTGAAGCCTCCCTGCCCTAGATACAACATCTACCCAGAATTGTGGAAACTTATAGAGCATATCCTGACCCTTGAAGAGCCATCAGGATGGATACTCTATTAGTGAGGGAGAAGGATTTTCCTTGGTCTAAGTCTGTGCCTTATGAAGGGTCCTAAGATAAGAAGGGGTCTAATCAATACATACTTCAGATTTGGTCACTGATGGTTGCTGTCACACCCACCAGATATGAGGGATTCCCTAAGTCTAAGAGAGGGGTGGAGAGCCCTATGCCCTTGATCAGTTATGGACAGTGAAGGAGCTCTAGAGGGATGACCAGCTGGTGACAAGAGTCTCTTTTGTAGGCTGGGAACAGGGGATCTTCCTGAATCGTTCTTTTTCCCTCTGGTCCTCTAGAGAAGTCACCCTCCTTCTGCCCTAAGTGTTCTTGGGAGGAAGGGACCCTCTGGGTGTTTTCCAAGACCAAGTTCCCAGAGTTCACTTGTTCCTATTGACCTGAGACAATAAAGCCCCTTCTTGTATTGCTCAAAATTAAGGAATCTGCTGTCCCTTCACCCAAGACATGGTCTCCACAAACACAGATGTTGCTTTGGTGTTAATATGTTATGCTTCCCCAAACCAAACACCACTTTCAGCTAGTGTTACTCCTTAAGTTGATTCACTGGCTACAGAGCATGAAGATTTTTTAATCTACAAAGTCACTAATTGGCTCGAGATTCTGCAGTGAGTCCTCTGCTCCCCCAGCAATCTCATCTCAGTCATGGATTTTGTTTTTAGAAAATCTTCTCTGAGGCAGGACATACCTCTCTGGTTAGGGCCCACCTCCTTTCCAGGGTCAGAACCCCTCCCCAGCTCCCCTGCAGGTCCAGTCCATGGTCAGCATTAGGCTAGAGCTGAGTGACCCACTGTGGAAACCAGGAGACCAGATGGAGATGAAGATGGGGCTGAGCCAGGCCCCTTGGCTCTCCACTGAGTGATCTCCACTTCAGCATTCTGGAGGGAAAGCCTGAAGGTCTGTTCTTGTCCTCCTGGAGCTGGCCCTGGTCAATGATATGGAGTGTGGCCACAGGGAGAGGAGGCAGCTGGCATGGTCTGTGGGCAGTTGTCCAGGAGGATTCTGAGGAATAAGCAGGCCCATTCCAGTTTCCACAGAGAGGGGCACAGGGACAGCAAGAGCTATGGCCCTGAGGGGAGAAGATGGGCAGGATCCTGGCCTGGGTATCTCATTAGGAGGCCAGGGAGGCAGCAGTGCTTGCAGCTGAGGCAACTTGACTTCTTGATCTTTTGCTGGGAGGACATCTGGAGTCTGGTGGGAGGAGCCTAGCTACCCTCAGTCACCCTTGTTCCCTTAGCATCTTCCCAGCCACCCTCAGCAGCCCAGCTAGAAAGTAAACAAGGTGGATGTGTGGACATATCCGGGGGTCTTGCCCAGAGGTTCTGATGGGACAAGGGTAAAAGAAGGGCCAGTGTGGCTGGAGAGTCTCGGTCTTGGGTCAGAAGGGATGGGGGAAGCTTAGGAACAGGAATCGTTAACAGCCAGGGTGCAAGGAGAGGCAAGGGAACACCACTGGGTCAGACCCTGTGAGGGCTGTGGGGAATAAGGTGAGCTGGGCTCCAGGTCATCCTCTGTCAGGTTTCAGGCTAGGCTCCCTGGACCCCAGTCCAGTGATACAGTCACTTCCTGGGGGACTGCTGTCAGGGCCCAGCCACCTACTCCTGTGCAGCACCATCTTGTCTCATGACTGGACAGTTTTGGCTCCTGTAGAGGATGTTGCCTTCAGCCCAGGAGGGGCAGCCCCATGATGCTGGCTGATCTCGCACATATACCTTTGGCAACTCCTATCCCACCCTGTGCTCCCTCTGCTTCTGTTTACCAGTTTACCTGAGTGTCAGCCCACGGAAAAGCCTGTCCTCCCTTCCTTAGGCTGTCTCATTGACTGAGATCTGGGATAAATGGAGATAGGGCTGGTCCTTTCTTGGGGCTCACGTGGAAAGGAGAATGGTTTCCAGCCTGGTTTGGGTCCTCAACCATCCTCCATCACCTTACAGTGAGATGGGTCTACCTCAACAGTGCCCTGGAGATGAAAGGCAGATTCTATCCCTGCTGTATGGGAGGCTGGTCCAGTGAGGCAAAGGGGGTGTCCTATGGTGTGAGGACACCATCCCTGTGAAGGACCATAGTTTATGCTGAACCTCACTCCAAGACTGGACCTGCAGGGTTTTTTTTTTGCCGAACTCCACCAGAACCACAGTGGTGGCTTAGTGGTCACTGACCACTGGCACCTGGAGAATGAGACCAAACAAATGCCCAGTGTGTCTGTGGCATGAAGACAATGTGACCTGAGGTTGCCCCTTTCTGGCTTCTCCCAGTTTAGCCCCATTAAGGCCCCTGGGCACAAAAGTCAGCATCCAGAGTCCCCTCCAGAAGGCCTGCAGCTTGGTTCACCATCCTTTCTCATTTTACAGGAAGAACAGAACATTGACCACACAGATAAATGGCTAAAAATGTTTGACAACTGGGAAAAATACAGAAGCCACAAGAAAATAAGGTGGAGAATGAGGGTCCCCCATGACTGCTGTCTGCAGTTAGCGAGACAGGAGCTCAATTCAGTTGCCTGGAGCTGCCTGTCTCTCAGACAGCCAGTGGCTCACTTTTCCTCACCCATAGGGCAACAGGTCTCGTCCCAGCTTTTCTGTCCATCCCTGCATGAATTCTCCTGTTGGAAGCAACTTTGATGTCAGGGCCTGGGCCACTACTATAAGTCAGTGAGATACATTCTGGTAACCCTGAAAAGAGAAATGAGTCTAGATGAGCAAGTTCATAACCCTGAGCACATGCCCACACTTTCATCATGGGAGATGTAGCCTGGTTCTAGGTAGACCCTCTCCTGAGGAATCACAGAGCCAGAGGCTGGAATCTTGCAGAATCCTCAGGCTCCAATCCTCCCTGAGCCCTGTTTCACCAGAGCATTCTTCTGTCCATAGACGACTCAGGGCAAGATGTCCTCAGCAAAAAACAAACAAACAAACAAACAAAAAAACACCCTACATGTGAGCCATATCTTCAGAAACCATGTTACGTTCCAGGAGCACTCTAACATCAGTTAAGGCCTATGAGTGCTAGTGTGTACCAGGAGAGATGGGAAAATCAATAGGGACGGGGAAATCCTAGGGAGATGTGGAGGTCCCAGGGTAGAGGTAGGGGGTCCCAGAGGAGGAAGTGTCAGAGCTACCAAGGGCTCTCCTAGACTAGAGGGCTACCAATACCATGTTTGCACACCTACTGGACTCTAAACCTTGGGCCCAGCTGGAGCCTGTAATGCCAGAACCCGGGTGACTCCTAAGGACAATGACAGAAGCAAACAAAATCATACTGTAGAGTAAAATGTGTTCTTCTTTACCCACAAGTGCTGGGGGGCATTCAGAGGCAAACTGACAACAACAAATGCTGGGGAGGACATGGAACTGCACAAACTCATCCATTGCTGGTGGGAAGGTAAGATGGTAGAGCCACATTGGAAAACAACCGGGCTCACAAAGTGAATGCACTTGAAACACACAACCCCAAAGTGCTCACAGATATTTACCAAACTGATTTGAAAACTTATGTCCACATAAAACCTGCATGCCACATTCACTTTTTTTATTCATAATGGCTAAAACCTGGAGGCTACCAAGATGATCAATAAGGAAAAGAATAAAGGAATTGTAGTACACTTACAGAACAGAAGGAAATTCAATGGTGAAAGGCAACAAGCCATTGACCTCACAGAACATGATCTCAGATTCATTTTCTAAAGTGAGAAAAGCCAGACCCAAAATGGTACCCACTGTAGGATTCTAATTCATAGGCCATTCAGGGGAAAGACCAAACCACAGGGACTGAGGACAGCTCAGGATGGCCAGGACTGATGGAGTAGGGGAGAGTTGGCTGCAAGGAGACCCAACAGAGACTTTGAGAATAAAGGAGCTGTTCCCTGAGACAGCGGTGTGGTGGATAGAAGGCTGTCCATGTTGGTTCAGTCTAAAGAAACTGCACTTCCTAGACTGGACTTTCATGTGTGCAAATAAATAACCAGCTAAGATATTTGCATTTCACTGTATGTATATTTTACCAAATAAATTTTCTAATAACAGATATCCTGAAGTGCTCACTGCTTATTTGGTGAATAATTATAACCTAGCTTTGGGTTTATTGTCAGGGTTTTTAGACAAAACTAAAAGCATCGTACAAAAGCACTCTCTGAGGCAGCAGGATTTATTTTATGTACTTTTGGAATATTTTGCATCCAACAGGGTATCTCTAGCAATGATATTCTTATAATCATGGGCATGGGCATCACTGCTTCTTTAATTTAGTATCCATGACCAAGCAGAACAGACTAGGTAGGATTAAGCTCACTGCTGTTGTGGACATCCAAGCAAGAAGAGAGAGGTCTCTAATCTAAAACTGCACGGACTGGGAGCTCTTAAAATTCTCGAGTTCCCAGCATGCCCCACAACGTGCGCACCAGCCTGCACCACCTCCCTCAGGTTCCGGTGCAGGGAGAAATCGCAACCATTTTTGGCCTCAAGCAGCCCCCGTCTGATGGCATCTCCTGCCACTCAAAACCAGAGAGGTGGAGCCTGAAGCCTCATCCAATCAGCGGACGCTGATATGGAAGTTGCCCAATCAGACAGGAGCCTGTAGTGCGTGGTCGACTTCCGGACTCTGACGGGGCCTTTGCCTCCTGCGCCTGCGCACAGAGCTGGCTGTGTTGTCTCCGCTGTTCTGTCCTGCTGTCAGGGAGGCCTCCGTGTCTCTGCCTCAGCTTCTGTGGCTCTGTGACCTGCAGATCCTGGGAGAACTGTAGGGAGGACGCCGGGACACCCAGAAGCCGTGAAATGGTGAGTATGCGGGCAGGTGTCCCGAGCGGGGGAGGGTGGTGGTACCGGATGAACTGGCTGTAGCGGGACTGGCCTCCCAGTTAGCTCCCAGCCTGGACCGGTCTCCGCCGGCGATTCGAATCAATCCCCTCGGCGCAGGGTGGGACTGAACCAGGATCCTGGGATCCTGTCCCTGCGTCGACCTCGTCCGCAGGAGCCCTCTCTGGACACTTCCGCGCAGCCCCGCAGTATACGGATGCTGGGAGGGTCGTGGGAAGGATCCGATCTACGTGCGGGGTCGGAGTGTGTTGGGGGGACTGTGGTCCTGGGCCCCAGTCTCTCTCTCCTCTCCAAGGTTAAACGGGGTCTTCGTCACGACCTTAAGGATGCACTTGGGCAAACAGCGGGTCGTGAATGCAGAAGCCCCAGCCAGGACTTGTGGTGTGGGGTTCCCGGAGGGACTGGAAGGAAAGGCTTTTATAAGGTGCAGGGGGAAGCCTGCCACGTGCAGTTGCTGTTTGTTTATAGCCATGCAGTCGCCTTATTTGGAATATCCATGTAGAAAGTCCCTGGGTATGTAGTCAGGTTCATTGGCAGTTTGTATAACTGGGTCCAAACCCCGTTCTGCTCGGCGCATGACAGCCAATAAGTCAAGACAAGGAGTTAGAGCAATGGCTGTGACTTTATTTAGGAGTGCCATTGAAACCGAGAAGATAAGGGGCCGCGTCCTACACACCCCTTTTGGGTTGTGTATACTTTTTTTGGTTTTTATTCAGGCTCGAGGGACAAAGGAAGCTGAGATCAAGAGGTGACTTCTGGGCACCAGGGGGGGAGTACTGGGAAGTCTCTTTGTCCTTGGTTCGTGTTCTTTTTGTTCCTTTATTTAACAAAACAGACTTAGTGCACATATTCCTCCTTTCCCAGAGATAGTCTGGACAGCTGCATACTTGCTCTTACCTCATATTTCCAGCCTTTCAAAATTATTTTAGCTACGTGCAAGCACGAACTGAGGCGAGAAAACCCTCTACTTCTAATTTCAGTTAGTTATGTTCGTCTTTTGACGTTTCACAGTTACATTTGTGGTTGGAAAGGTCTAAGTTCTGTTTTCCTCTAATTAGTAATTTTCAAGAAATTTATTTGAGTTAGCTAGGTTACTGGTTTTCGTGCATTTTCAGACACATTGCTGGTCTTGAGAGGAAAAGGCAGAAATGATTTCTGTCCTGTGGGTTATCTGCCACTTGTGAAGGAAGGACAACTATCCCAAAGGACAAAGAAAATCCACCTTAGAAAAAAGGTGTAAGGTTCCACAGAGAAAAAAACTCCTCAGGCACACAGGAGACCAAGTGCAGTGTCTCCCCGAGCGGGTGGTCACCAAGCAAGTGAGAGACGAGGATGGGCGTGGGGACATGTCCCAAGTGACACAATGGCCTTCCTTGAGTCAAACATGTCTGTGTCAGTCAGCACTTCCCCTACATGGGTTTGTCACCTTGGAAAGATTCATTCACTTATTTCTACTTTAGTTTTTCATTAACTATAAAATGTATTTTATCAGTAGGTATTGAAAAGTTTTAAACATTTTTGAGGAGCTCAGGCAATCCTCTCACCTCAGCCTCCCAAAGTGCTGGTATTATAGACGTGAGCCACCGTGCCCAGCCATTAAAAAAATCTTATTTACCTTTTTTATTTTGCAGAGTGAGTGTAGTAAGATTCTGAGGTCTGTTCTAAATAGTGTGATTTGAACCAGAATCTGAAGGCATTGCTTTGGAATTTCTTCCTGGGGAAAAAATAGAGAAAATTTCTTTCTCATTATGGCTGTGAAAAGTCAATAAATTTCCACAAGAAAGTATAGTAGATTAATTGTTAAATTACATAGATTTATAAACATCAGTTTTTCTTTATTTGTAGAGTGAAGAATTTGTGACAGTGGATAAATGTTCTATATCCTGTTATCTGGGTTTAATGCTAAATTTTATGGGACAAAACTTGGCAACTACTGGAAGTGTTCACATGTGATTAATAGTTTATAAAATGATTTGCTATCATGAAAGTAATCGCATGTTTATTGTCTGAAAGAGATACAGACTTTTGCTTTTTCTGATTATGTATGTAATATAAGTGCCTTACAAGTTGCTGCACTTCATAATCATAAACACTGAGTTTGAGTGATTTTTTGCTGGGTGTTTCCTCATTTGAACTAAGTGAATGGCCTTAATTAGGAAGCAGACACATAGACCCAGAGATTCCAAGGAGTAGTCAGTCCTGATCTTACGAAAGGAAATCATGAATGCTCAGGTCATTCTTCTAAGGGAGCCTCCCCTGTAGATGCACTTGCTTGTTTATAGCAATCAAGGAAGGAAGTTGCTGCTAGTGAGAAAAGCCACAGGGCCTTGGAAAACTGTGGGTTCTCAGGGAGACGTGGTCAGGGTTGGGATGAAAATGGGAGATGTGATACTCTTTTGGAAGGTGTACTTGTTATTGTTCTGTGGCTGTTTCTAGACATTGTCAAATAAAAAATCCAGTTTGGGTTAAAATAACTTTATGATAAAGGAGTATTACAATAGAGTGAAAGCACTAGCTGTAGGATCTGCAAGTATCTCAGAGTTAAGGCTGCAAGGGGCTTTCTTCTGTGGGAAGAAGCAAAAAAGATCTGAGGGGGAAGGACAGGATGGAGAGTGGCACCAGGAGATCCTAGTTCAGAGACTGTTCACCCTCAAGTTGGCCTGTTCTTACGAGTGACATGAAGAGAAGTGTGTGTTGACTCAGACTGAGGGTGGGTCAGAGTTCAGGGTCCTAGAGGAAGAGGAACACATAGTGTTTTGTTCTGACCACTGAGACAAAAGTGTTCATCCAATTGTTTATGAGTCAGAAAATGGGAAATTGCAGTATCTTTGTCTGGCTTTAAGATAGAGAAAAAGGGAGCATCACCTAAGTTATAATGGGAAGGGGGTCTCTGTTGTAGTAAGCTGCTGTTGCCAAATACAAAGGATGGGTTTTCCTCAACCACAGCTATTTATTAGAATTCCCTCCTCACCCATTTTCCCTGGCACTATCCCTTGCCTTATACATCTTTTTCACTTGGCAATTTCTGAGTTGTAGCCTTTATAATAAACTGGTAAAAATAAGTAAACTGTTTTGCTAAGTTGTGTGAGTAGTTCCATCAAATTATCAGACTTGGTGAGGGGTAAAAGGAGCGACTGGTTAATAAGCAGTTTCTCAGAAGCATAGATCACCCTGGGATTTGCAACTGTTATCTACAGTGGGGGCAGTGTTGTGAGACAGCCCTGAACTTGTGGGGTCTGTGCTAACTCTGGATAGTGACAGAAGTGAATTGTTAGACAACCAGTTGGTGTTAGATAATTGGTTGGTGTCCAGCCACACATTTGGTGTTCAAAAAAAGACGTTACAGGTGAAAATCTTAAACTACTCCTGGTGTTTGGTTCCTGATAAGAATTGAGACTCTGGAGGATGGATCATTTTCACACTCTGAGGAGGGGACGGTAAAGTGTGTGGCGCTCCCAGAATTAAATTCCCAGTTGCTCAGATTTCCCTCAGTCACTGACTGGTAGTAAGCCACCCAGGGTTACATCTTACACTGACAGTGGTCCCCAGACTTGGGAACATAATGAGCCTTTTGAAGATGTAGTTTCATGTGAACTATGGGTGAAACAGGCTGCTTCCCTGAGCTGCTATCCTTTTGTGTGTGTGTGTTTATAAAATCTTTCTGCCACATAATTCCAGTTTATCCATGTATTTAAGAATTGTATTCCATGATTTGAGTATAAGATGCATATTTTTTTAGTTAGAAATCTGAGTGGATTGTGTGATGTGATCTGAAGAAGCAAAGGTAATAATTTAAATAAATGATTTGTTTTATGCTATGTTTAAATAATAAGAATATAACCCTTCATGGCCACACCATCAGTTGACACTAGGATTCCTTTTTTTTTTTTTTTTTTTGAGTTGGAGTCTCACTACGTCGCCCAGGCTGGAGTGGCACATTGGCACTCTCATGGCCACCACAGCCTTGACCTGCTGGGCTCAGATGAGGCACTAGGATTCTTATCCAGATGAGATTTGCTCCAGTTTTCTGGTACTTGGATAAAGAACGAGGAGGAGGTCTGGAGAAGCAAACTGATAAGTAAACCACATGGCCTCCAGAAAAAAATAGATGAAGCAGTCAGGTTTCCTACAGTCGAAAAAGTGTCCATCTGTTGTAAGCGTTTGCATTAACTGCATGTGGAACATGGTTAATAAAATGCACATTTAAACAGGATGGCAGTTACTGCCCAGAATAACTCAGGAAGGTCTGAATAAAGAATAATTAGAACAGTCTTACACCCTAGGATGCCAAAATAAAAGAAAGAAAGACAATATAAATATACTAATAGAGATTACAGAGCATGGAAGATATCTGTAGCTGGAATTCTGCATAAAACGTATATTTCCTCATTATTTGATTTAGACTACAATTTACTATATTTTTGGCCAACATCACAGCACTGCTGTTGTGTCATTTGTGTGTCTTGGCACCTAATACCAATTTGTCCTATTGCAGTTCATATAATTTTATTTACTTGATTAAGGTGCCTGCTGACAGATTTTTTTTTTTACTATAAACTTAATTTTTTATTATTAATAAATACCTTGGGGAGATTTACCAAAGATTATCAAATTTAATCTGGAACCTCTCCTTTCTTAGATTCTATTTGCATATAGCTTGCTTTGAAAAATGAAGACTCTCATCTTTGTTTACTGGTCAGATAAACTGAGATAAACCCAGGGCAGATCAATGCCTTTAGCCCAAGAGTTTGAGACTAGCCTAGGCTATATAGCCAGACATTATTTTTTTAAACAATTCAAAAAAAATTAGCTGGGAATGGTATGTGCCAGTAGTCAGCTAATTGGGAAGCTAAGGAGGGTGGAGCCTTTCAGCCCAGGAGGTCGAGGCTTCAATGAGCTGTGATTGTGCCACTGAACTCCAGCATGGGTGACAAAGTGAGCCTTAAAGAAGTGGAAAAACTCAGGCTTTATTCCAGATCTCCTGAATCAGAATTTGTATTTTGACCATATTCAGTCCATTGTTATATACATTAAAAGTTAAGAGGGACGTTCCAACTCACTCTGAGTTTTCCATCTAACCATTATATACAACTTACCCTGTGTGATGTAAACGTAGCCTCAAAGATGTATATGCCTGTATTGGTGCCCATATTTTATACTTTATCATTCACAAAAGGTGTCTATACTACCTGGGTGGATCTTATCTCATCCTTTTTCCTCAGAGTTAAAGAATATATTAGAGAATATTTCTGTGTTAAAAATTACCTTTTTGAATAATTCTCGTCATCATATAAGTTAGATCCTCTTCTCGTCACTTGCTCATTTCACCTAGAGTTAAATTAAGATTTCTGCCCATGGCCACTTGGTAAATATGCTTTTTTGTTGTTTTCAGGGGCTTTTGACATTCAGCGATGTGGCCATAGACTTCTCTCCGGAGGAGTGGGAATGCCTGGACCCTACTCAGCGGATTTTGTACAGGAATGTGATGTTAGAGAACCACCAAAACCTGGTTTCCCTGGGTGAGAAGAATCTCAGCATATAATTTCTATTCCATACTAAGGATGTCATATCCTTCTTTTATAGAATGTTTTCTGGGAGTTTTTGCTTTGCACAAATGAGTTTCAGATTCTTGCTTTCAGGGAAAACTGGGTGATTTGTTGGTATTTTTACATGAACCTTTTTTCTTTTTGAAACTAATCTATATTCTTTGCAATTTTAGTGGTAAACCCAGAAATTTAGTGGTATAAAATATTGTTACCTACACCTTCAAATCCAATTGCTGCCATCAATTTTGGATTCACTAGTACTGGACAATGGAGTTGAGGTCCCACAAATTTAAAATACTTCCTAAATGTTCTACAGGTTCTGCTGGGTAACAGCATTTTGGGATTAATTTTCTGGAATCTTATATAATATATTCTCTACTGAGAACAGTACTAGGTTTGCAATTGGAGAATCCCAGCAAGAGTCATGTTACTGTTTCTAATAAAACAGGCCTTGCTATCTCCACGCCGGACCTGATCATGTGTCTGGAGCAAAGGAAAGAGCCCTGGAATGTGAAGAGACAGAACACAGTACCCAAACCCCCAGGTATGTGGAAGTGAATAAAGCAGATGACACAGGTCAAGCAGGAAGCAGAGCTTGAAATGTGGTTTGGGAAGGTGGTCTGCTCCAATGGAAATGGTTTCTGAGAAACCTAGGATTCTTTCTCTTGCTGTCACAAAGTGACATCTATTGTTTTATGCTCTGAAATTCTCCAATAAGCTCTACTTTCTTTTCTGTGATCTTCTTTCAGAGTTATGGGGAAATCAAAGTCATCATAATGGTTTATAAGGGACATTCTGTTCCGACTGCTGTTCGGTTGCTTTTGGAGACATGGGAATATCTGTTTATCTTTTAGAAACTCCATGTAAAACTATTTTTAAATTATTTTTGCATCATGTTTGCAATATGTGAGAGTAATAGTGATTTTTAAAAAATTTGATTCAGAAATTCCAGAAACACCGTGGACAGATGTTAAATGTTTTCTGCATCATGATTTCCTATCCTAGGGAGGTTTCAAATAAGATTTTGTAGAAATTCATACTCAATAATTTTGTCAGAACTTACACTATCTCCCTAAATATAAGGAGGCCTAATATTATTTTACTTTAACATTTTATATTTTAAGTATGAATACTGGTAGTTTAAACTCTAAATGCCCAACTTTCTAAAGTATCCTATGTCACTTAGAACATTTGTAAACATATATTAAACTCCACATGTTACCTTGTTTCTTAATAAATCTTACCTTATAATTTTCATTTTTTTTTTTTAGTATGAAGCTTAGGACTGGGTCATATATATATATACACACATGCATATATATGTTTATGTATGGGTAGGTTTAACGTGTATTTTTCAGAAATAAAAATTGTATAACCATATATTTATTGTGTACAATGTAATGATTTGATCTGTTTACACACTGTGAGATGTGAATACAATCAAGTTAGTGAACATATCTATCACCTTACATAGTTACCCTTTTTATTTTTGGTAAACAAGACAATGTCTACTATTTTAGCTAACTTTTAAAGGGTACAGCATTAATATTAACTGTGGTCACCAGGTTATACATTAGAACCCTTCAAACTCACTTATAACTGAAATGACTCAGGAGTGGAGCGTTGCCACTGCAGCTGCCACCTCGGGAGCCAGTGAGCTGTCGCACTGCTCTGGGCGCCTCCAGGGAGGGAGCCCTGAGAATGGAGGGAGGGACCGGCCGAACGTGGAATGGAGGCCAGTGGGTGCCCAGCGCATGCGTGGCAGCCTATCGCCCCAATAAAGTCTGCTTTGACAAAAAACAACCCCTGAAATTTTGTACCCTTTAAACACCATCTCCCATTTTTTCCATCTGCAGGCCCTGGCAACCACCATTGTGTTTTCTGCTTTTATGAGTGCAATCTTTTTTGATTCCACTGCTTAAATAAGGTCACATAATATTTGTTTGTGTGTGCCTGCTTATTTCATTTAGCATAATGTCTTAGTTTCATCCAAGATGTTGAAATGCCAAGATTTTTGATTCTTTATGGCTAAATCATGTTCTATTATGTATATATACACATTTTCTTAATCCAGTCAGCATCTACAAACATTTAGGTGGTTTTCACAGCTTGACCATTGTGACAAATGCTTCAGTTCATAGGGGTGTAGATAATTCTTTCAGATACTAATTTTATTTTCTTTGGTTATATACACAGAAAAGGGATTCTTGGATCGTGTGGTAGTTTATTTTATTTTTAAAAAATGTTTATGATGGTTTTCATAATAAGTATGCCAATTTATAACTCATCAGGAGTGCACAGGATTTCTTTATCTTCACATCCTTGTCAACACTTATCTTTTTCCTTGTTAATATTAGCCTTCCTTATGGGTGCAAGATGATTCCTCAACATTTTGTTGATTTGAGATTACCTGGTGATCGGTGATGTTGAGCACCATTTCATATACTTGTTGGTAATTTGTGTGTCTTCAATGGAAAAATAACTATTCTTGGCCTATTTTTCAGTCAAGTGATTACCATTTAATTGTTTTATCCTTAGATTTGTATGACTTCCCTGTATATTTTGATTATTAACCTCTTATCAGATATATCTCATATATATGATTTGCAGATATTTTCTCTTATCCTGTAAGCTTTCTTGTTTGTTGTGCAAAAACTTTTTAGTTTGATGCAGTCCAACTTGTTCATGCTTGCTTTTGTTTCTGTACTTTTAGTTTCATATCAACAAAATCATTGCCAAAACCAATATTAATGAGGTTTTCCAAATCTTTTCTTGTAAGATACTTTGTTTTCTGAGTTGGAGTCTCTTTCTGTCACCCAGGCTAGAGTGCAGTGGAACAATCAAGGTTCACCACAGTGTTGAGCTTCTGGGGTAAGGTGATCATTCCAAGCCTCAGCCTCCAGTAGCTGGGATTATAGGCTGGTGCCACCATGCCTTTATAAATTTTCTTTTTTTTTTTTTGTAGAAATGAGGTCTCGCTATACTGTATTGCCTAGGGTGGTCCTGAACTACTGGGCTCAGGAAATCTTCCTGTCTCAGTCTCCCCAAGTGCTGGGATTACAAACATGAGCCACCACATCTGGCTGATACTGTTCTATGTAAGCTAACATAATGTCCACAGAATTTATTCTTACTATAACACATAGATTTTCTTTTTTAAGGATTAATAATATAGTGTTGTATGTATATATGCCACATTTTCTCCATTCATTCATTGAGGGATATTTAGGTTGTTTTTCTTTTGGCCTTTGTGAATAATGCTCCAGTAAATGTGGGTGTGCAAATATCTCTCTGAGGTCTGCTTTGCATACTTTGGTTAGATACCTAGAAGTGTGATTGCTGGATCATAGAATAATTTTATTTTTAATAAAACTTTCATATTACTTTTCATAGTAGCTGCATCATTTTTCTCTCTCAGCAACTGCACAAACATTTCAAGTTCTCTACATCTTTGGCATTTGTTATTTTGTTTGTTTGATAGTGGCCATCCTGATGGGTGTGAGGTTGTGTGTCAGTGTGCTTTTCCTTTACATTTCTCTCAGTGTTTGTTATTTTCAACATCTTTTGAAATGATTGTTGGTGTCATTTGTATCTCTTCTTTGGAGAAATGTCTGTTCACTTCTTCACCCATTTTTTAATCATGTTATTAAATTTTTGTTGTTGAGTTTTAGGAGTTAGTTGTATATTCTGAATTTTAATTTCTGTCAAATATGTAAATAGTAAATATTTTCTCTCATTCTTTAGGAGACATTTTTATGGAATTGAATGTCTCCTATCATATCAAGTTTTTTTTTTGTACTTTTACTAGTTAGTTCCATTTTACTCTTCTTTAGGCTTATGCTTTTGATGTCGTATCTAAGGAAGCATTGTTATGGCCAGGGTCTTAATCTCTACCCTGTATTTGACTAAAAATTTTGCAGTTGTATTTTTTCCATTTAAGTATTTAATCATTTTAGATAGTTTTTATATGTAATGCAAGAGTCCATCTTTATTTATTTCTCTCTGGATAGCCAGTTTTCCAACACCTTTGTTGAAGGAGAAGTATTTTCCCTATTGTGTATTCATGGCAACCGTGTCAAAGATTATTTAATTATATTCATAAGAGTTTATTTTGTGCTATTCTCTTCTGTTCCATTATCTGTTTTTCTTTCTGCATGCCAGTCCCATTTTGTTTTTATTCCTGTAAATTTGTAATATGTTTTAAAATCAGGAAGTGTGATACCTCTAACTTGTTCTGCTTTGCTAAGTCTGTTTTGATCATTTATAAAGCCTTGAGATTCTATGTAAATTTTAGGATAAAAAATATTTTTACGAAAAAAGTATCATTTGAATTTTCATAGGAAATACATTGAGTTTGTATATCACTGTGGGTAGAATCAACATCTTAATGATGTTAAATCTTGTGACTTTTTTTGAGTTAGGGTGGCACGATCATGGCTCAGCATAGCCACCACCTTCTGGGCTCAAACAAGAGGGAACTCTTCAGCCTCCCAAGTAGCTGTAATGACAGGTGTGTGCCACCATGCCTGGATAATTTTTTTTTTAATTTTGTTTGTAGAGATGAGATCTTGTTATGTTACCCAGGCTGGTCTCAGATTCCTAAGCTCAAGAGACCCCCCCGCCTTAGCCTCCCAAGCTCATCTTGACCTTCTGGGCTCAAGCAATACATTTGCCTCAGCCTCCCAAGGTGCTGAGCCACCGCACGCACCCAGTTATATATTCTGACTCTTCAACAGGAATGTAAGAGTGTTGCTTAAGTTGCGTGTGTTTTAGAATTTGCTTGTTTTCCTTTCACTTTTAGTTTCTAGTTGTATTTTCTTGTGGTCAGAAAAAAATACATTGTATAAGTTCAGTCTTTTTGATGTGATAAAACTTATTTTGTGTCCTAATACATTGTCTAACTTGTAGAGTGTGTCATGTGCAATTGCATACATTGTGTATTAAGCTACTGTTGACTGGAGTATTTTGTATATGTCTTTAAGTCTAATTGGTCTTCAGTGTTGTTTAAGTTCTCTTTTTTTAATGATCTCTTTTCTGGCATTTCAATTCATTATTGAAAGTGAGGTATTGAATTATTTCACAGTTATTGTGCTGCTGTGTATTTTTTTGCTTTATTTTCTCAATATTTGCTTCATGTATTTGGGAACCCTTATATGAGTTGTATCTGCTATAAGTTCTTAGTAAATTGACTTTTTAAATTATTATGTATTATTCTTTGTTTCTTGTGACAGTTTTTTGCTTTCCATGTTTTCTTTAACCACATTACACTTATTTTTTCTTTCTTACTGCCTTCCTTTGTATATTTTTATTTTTGTAGTGGCATGTCTTGATTACTTTCTCATTACCTTTTGTGTATCTTCTATAGTAATTTTCTTTGTGATTTCTGTGACAAATGGGGAGTACATAAAACATCTTTTTTTTTTTTAACGAGTTGCAGTCTCACTATTGCCCAGACTGGAATGCAGTGGCATTCTATGGCCACCACAGCCTCTACCTGCTGGACTCAGGTGATCCTTCTGCTTCTGTCTTCCAAGTAGCTGGAAC